TTGAGGTATCTTCATAATAACCTTATTATTATACATCTTTTCCTACCAAGGATACATCATGGGAATGCCGAAATCAGCGAACTTCTTTGTATGGAGTCCGGTCAAACCCTTGTGGCAGCCATGTTTGTCTTTATTATTAGAAGACGCTTATTTGGAATTAGCATTTCCTAATATGGTAGGATGAAAATACCCCGTAAAATACCGCAAAATTACGACACGCTGTAACGTATGGCGTTACGGTGACAGATGTATAATAAAATATTTTATTTTATCCGTATTATTTATTTTTTTCAAGTTTTTTGTGCATATATCAGATTTTTATCAGATTGGACCAGTCTGATTAAAATAACGTATGTTTTGTTGTTTTTTTCATTTTTTTTGGAAATATATATTTATTTATTTCATGTTTTTATTAGCTGGAAGTATTTGTTAATTTTGAAAGCCAAAATAAGATGCAATAAAAAAAAACAATTAATTATAAAATAATAACAATTAAATTAAATTTGAAATTAAAAAAAGATACGTGCTGTTACCATACCTAAGATTGAATCAAATTGTGTGAGGATGTGGTTTATAAAACTGGTCTCTAATACATTGTAATTATTACTGATTTTATTTTTTTCATAAATTTTCTCTTGTCAATTTAGTTATTTATAATATTAATATAAAAACATATAAATATATATTTTGAGATTGTTCAGGAATTATCTTGAATCGCTTGTTTTTCACTCAGGTATCCACCACCACAAAGAAGTGCATCACAGGCGAGCCAGTCACCCCTTCTTCCATATCGCCCCAAAACTGTACATGATTTCCGTCAAAATGATTCTCATCATCATCATCGTTCTTCTCATCCACTTTCAAGACCCTCTACAGCATCTACTAGTCGTAGTAATAGAATTAGTTCACAACTGAAGGCTACAGATTATCACTACCAGTAAGTTATTTATATTATATACATTTTATGATAAGTGTATGCAACTTGGATTTATGTAAGGCGATGACATTATCTTGCATACTTTTTATGTGCATCTTATGTCAATAAAAGTATGCCTTCTATGGCAACTCATTAAAAGTATGCCCTCTATGGCAATTCAATAAAAGTATGCCTTCTATGGCAATTCAATAAAAGTATGCCTTCTATGGCAACTCTATAAAAGTTTCCGGCGTCCTTTGCGAATGGCAAGTAGGACGAAGGTAACTGCTAATCGCCATAGTGTTCCACTGGGCCGGTTTTCTGGCCCAAAAGCATGTGACTAAGTGACATAATTTGAAAACATTCCAGCACATTTCAGTCACTGATTGCCTATGATAACAAAAACAGTTGATTTTGTCATTATTCATTCCTACATTAAAAACATTTATTTTAAAACATTTATCAACAATTTCTTTTTCTTACTAACAATTTTATTTTTCTCTTTGTTCCAGAATATCTCCAGTACCGGACTACTGAATTATATCTTGCTGATTGTCCCCCTCCTCCCCCTCCTCCTCCTCCTCCTCCTCAAATGACAATATGACTTTGTTACACTGCAGATTTTGTTAATGCCAAGATTGCTTCTATTCTACAATTGTTAAGTACACTTGTTTAGGACAGTGATCGTCATGCAGCGTGTATTCAAATTAGGGAATGAACATTTATTATTCCTAGGGGGGGGTCAATTCTTGGTGCTTTTTCAAAATAATCAATGACCCCTCCCCCCTTTTTTTCCGCTTTTAGAAAAATGAAAATATGTAAACCCCCTCTATATATATATATATCAATAAAAGGCGTAAAGAAAAAAAATTTTGTCTCAATCTTTAAGAGAAAAATACCCCCCAGCTAAAATGTCACCCCCCCCCTATCGTGTCTTTGGAGAATATTCTGACCCCCACCCCTCCCCTCTGTTTTGCCCGACCCCCTCAGGAATAATAAATGGTCATTCCCTTATATTCTATGCTGTACAAAGCATGGAGTAAATAAATATGCAAATTTTCCACAATCAATTGATTAATGAGTATTTTACAAAATTCTCCAACATATCTGCAGTGCAGAGGCTATTATATTAATTATTGGACCAACATTTTGAAAATATTTTACATGCTGAAAGTCACAGATAAAATGAATGAATCACATCTTGACGTATTTATTTTCCACCACCTGCCAGATATAATCATTAATTAATTAGTTAAATATCATTAGTTTATGTCAGTTATACCAGAGGTACATTACTTGGGGTTTGCAACTCGCATAGTACTGTATGGTGACATCATGTCAAGATCTCATTCAAGTCTCTTCTCGTAGATAGCGAGACTAAGGCTACGACCTTTGACATGACACATATCAATGTTCAAGGTTTGTAATGAAAAAATAAAACTTTTCTTGTCACTATCATAGTGAAAAATGTAATACATCGAAAATGTACAGAAAATATAGTTCTCGTAATCCGTCATATCGTGGGCAGCTATTTTGATCCACCTGGACATCCCAGTATCCTAGTTACCTCGGGCATGCGCAATCTCATTTTTCTGAGTTGGAATGCTTATGCGAGAGCGAGATTGTGACGGGATCTTGGTATCATGTCACCATAGTTACAAACCCCAAGTAATGTACCTCTGGTTATACATAGATATGTACAAAAAATTGAAATTCCTGATAAAAAATATAGGTTGGTAAGTGTTGTTTTACCAACAATCGATTTATTTGAAATTTGTTAAAACTGTTTTTTTTTTACATTCTTAACTGTAGGATGGTTTTAAATCTCAACTTAACAAATATTCTAAAATTCTGGTTGTGCCAAAGAGCAAATTTTGTACCATGTATGTTTAGAACACTGACACTTTCACACTATAAGGTGCGATTACAGTCATAAACAATGAATGTCTCAATGAAATGTGCTTTGCAGTGTCCAGATATTATTGGTCATTTGAATGCATATTAATGAGCTTCATTTACATAATTATTTCACAACTCTTTTGTCGTAAGTGCTAGTTATACACTGCATTTAATCAACAGGGTATGATTTGTACATAACTTTGAAATTTTCAATTATATAGCACTTAGATTAGTATTTTTATCCTTTATCTTTCAAAATCAGTTTTGTTTGTGAAAAAGAAAATGTTTGTTTAAACTTAAACTCACGTAATAAGTACGTAGAGCTGCGTTATTGATACCAGCAACTGCACTTAATCATGTTTATGGTGATACGTTTGTAGTCATGGTCACCAAATTTTGTTTATGAATTTATTACTATATTTCAATGATATATTTTAATTCTTGTGGCATTATTTAATTACTTATTAATTATACATTACCATTTTGTAATAAAGTTGCTACAAGAAGTTCATAATCCGTTAATATAATTTGTAACTTTTTCACATGCTTGTACTAGAGTATATGACTTGGCGTTTGAAAATCTGGTATAAACTCTGCTGGTTGGTAATCATTCAAACATCCTGGACACTTTTCTTATGCAGCTTTCTTCATTAATAGTAAAAGTAGCCTGACAACGTCAATTGAGTTGCACCCTCTGGGGTGCTCCAAACTCAACACATGCCTGATAGAACGATGTTGTTTTTCACTTCTCCTGACGATTATTTGTCACAATCAATTTGCAGGAACACCAGATAGCCATCAAAAAGTAATCATTCACAGTAGAGTTTATTTGTTTGTTGACATAATGTCTGATAAGGTGCTGGCAAATTCCTGGCCAATGTGTATCATCTTATTGAAAACATTCTGATTTTTGATGACAATGCAAACATAGCTTTACCATGACCACCAAAATGAATATTCATTGAACCCATTGCAAGAAGTCGTGAACTTTGCGAGTTCGCAGTATTGATCTTGCCGACAAGTCGTACACTATTCTGTCAGGTGTTAGTGAGGTCTGATGCCGTTCGGCCGGCGATAGCCTACATGTCAGGCTGTAGTAAAAGGAACAAGAAAAGTAGTATAAAGTTTATAGATAACAATTACTGTATCTTCCTGGCATGAGGTGTTTTGGGTTGTTTTGTATAAAATTTATTTTCACTTATTTTTGTCAAGTTGAGTGTACAATATAGGAAAAAAGGCTATATTTGCTGGGTTTTATTTTCACTGAATCATCCCTTCAGCTAAGTGAAAATAAAGTATAAATAAAGCTAACCTAGTCGTGACCTCGATGGGGTTCGTAACCAGTCTTGTGATTGGTTGTTGACAAATGCTGAACAGGCCACGCCTCCAACTGTGCCCTGCGTTCGGGCAAACCGTTAGGAATTCCAAAATGGAGCAAATTTGTGTAGTTTTCTTGATTTATTCTGCAGATATCGGTAAAATGTAGGTAGGGCTTTGGCGAAATTTGAAGAAGCAACTAATATTCTTCAACCTGGTATTTTTTTTAGATTTTATTAGGGGCCCAAGCCTGAAGGGCGAGGCCCCTATTCTTATTGTCCGGTTTTTTCTTTCTTCTTTCTTTCTTCCGTAACTTTTTTCGTCAAGCCGTTTGAGAAAACTGCTGAACTTAATAGTCTGAAAATGC